TACCAATTCAAAATTAGTTCCAGCAAATGCTTTATTGTGGAACAGATTACACCCCCAAGGTTAGATAGATTATAGTGTTGACAGTTTTAAGCTGCCTCCACCTTTCCAGCAGTCATTCATTCATTCACTCTTCATCCAAGGACTCCTCTGGTTTGACTTCTGAAGGTGAAAAGGGGCAGGACTCAACAGCTGAATAACAGAAGGAGGGCGTTGAATCAAAGGAAATGGGGGAAAGAGCGCTCTGTCCATTTCCAGTCTAAATCAATCAGCACAAGAATAAACATACCCAGAGAAATCTAAAGAGGAAATATTCACACCCTAATCCTACCTGTGGATTTGTTTGGCAGTGTAGTAGTGCATTTCAAAATACAGGAGCTCGGCATGATAGTTACCGCCACCTAGAACAGGTTTTTTTCTATAGCAGTGAGACTCAACTGCCCATTCCAGACCAAGCCACGTGCAAATACTTTGACTAAAAACAGGACCAGTGTGAACATATAATGATATGGTGTGTGTGGAGGGTGTGTGTGTATGTGGTTGGCTGAGGAGAAGGAAGTTTCTTCAGCTACTCTGAAGATTGCAGCTAAGATAAGGCCTAAAGGAGAAGGCTTAAATTAATGGACCTCAGATTCTGCAACCTCTTCCCCCTACACTATAGTGTTTGAAGAATCTGTATGCTCCAGTACAGTGGGGTCTTGACTTGAGAACTTAATCCGTATTGGAAGGCAGTTCTCAAGTCAAAAAGTTCTCAGGTCAAATCTGCATTTCCCATAGGAATGCATTGAAAACCATTTGATCCGTATCTGCTCTTTTCCGTCCATAGAAACTAATGGGAAGCTGCTATTCTGCCTTCGACCACTAGAGGGGGATATTTTGTTTCTTTTTTTCTTAGGTCAAGAAAGGTTCAGGGAAGGCAGGGAAAAATACAGTCCAGGCAGTACAGTGGACCCTTGACTTACAGAATTAATCCGTATTGGAACGGTAGCTGCAGGTCAAAAAGTCTGTAGGTCAAGTCTCCATTGAGCTACAGTGCATTGAAACCCAATTAATCCCGTAACAGGCCGTTTTTGTTCCATTTTGGTTTTTTTCTGGTCTGCAAGTCAAATCTCAGTCTGCAAGTCAAACCTAAATTTTGCGGCCAGAGAAGTCTGTAACTCGAAAAGTCTGTAAGTCAAGCCGTCTGTAAGTCAAGGGTCCACTGTAATATGTTAATGAGAGGCATGGATGGCAAACAGAAAGGCCAAACCCTTCAAGTCTCCTTATCGAGAGAAAGGCAGGATATAAATCAAATAAAACAAATAAAACAAAAACAAATAAAAAATAACTCTCAATCTGCTGAAGGAAAAGTGACAGGCTGACAACCAAAAAGCTACAGAATACAGAACACATGTATGCAACAAACATGGTTATGAGTGCTCAAGTGCCTTACAATGCTGAAAGGATATGCCAGCAAATTATCTTCCTTAGAACATTTTATATCATATCCCAAGAAATATTCTCCCCCCCTCCCAAAAAAGTCAAATTAGCTAGGCAGTTTGCTGGGGGACCTTGAATATTGAAACTGCAAGTTAGGACAAGTAACTAGGAAACTCCAAACAAGTCTCACATTAGACCATTAATCAAGGAATATTTGAAGAACACATCTGTCCCTCTCAAATGCACATGCTAGACTAGCAATTCCCATAGCAGCCTAAGAAGCAAGCAGGTTGGCTGTGGTAGGTATCTAAGTGGAGAGAGAGCAGAAGTGCAACTCAAATATATAGTAAGGATTATTGATCTTTAAGTCAGAATTGATTTGATGTCACATGATTAATAGTATTATACTGATATTTAAATGCAAAAACCATGTAAAGGTTTATTAATAACAATCCATGCCATCAAGGCAATTTTGATCTAGAAAACCCTGGATTTTTCAGAATTTTCTATGCATAAAGTACTCAGAAGTAGTTTATCATTCAGTTCTTCTGTGCAACATGTCCAAGGCTCTACACAGGCTGGATCTTTCTGCTAGGAGGCAAAATGGGGAATCAAATTCCAAATATGACTTTGTAGTCAAATACCTAACTCACTTATCTATCCAACCAGCTGACACCTTTATTAATCCACTTAAACCTCTCAAATAGGTCTGAGTCATTCAAGACTCTGCATGAGGCTAATCATTACAGAACTGTGGTGGAAAATACTTATTTCAAATATTTTACTTCACTTTTCTCCTTTATTGGCATATACAATGCAACTGCATATACAAAATAGCAAAAAAAAATATTTTTAATTAACTTGATCTACAAATTTGATGTGTCAATCTGTGGCTCCTCACTATCTGGTTCAAAAAGGGCCACCACGTTCTTCACTATATAGCTGACTCTCCTATTAACAGAACATACAAATATTAAAAAGGATCAAATTAATAACCTGAGAGAAATATAGGAAAAAAATTTAAAAAGCAGTTATGTTTCTCAGAGCAGCCATCTGAAGTGTACATGAACAAAAGCTTGGAGGAGTCATTCCACAAGTTAAAATGTCTCCAGTGACATGGTATGGGGGGGGGGCATTAACAAGGGGGCAACACCAATCCTTCCTTCCCAGATGCTTCTTGTGGCATCCGCCCAGGTCATAAATATTAATGAGCTATCTGCATGTACCAGTGAGAGTGCTGGAGAGGTGGAGTCACCAGATATAAGAGTCTCTGAAGGAGGGGGAGAAGGAAAGGATTGGTAAATTTGGAGTTGGGGAGTGGAGGGAAAGGGTTGGTGGTTGAGGGTGGATGAAGCAGGATGTTCTGTTAAGAGTTAACAACACTGACTGTACCTTCATCACCTGTAATAATAAACAACTTCCATTTGGTTCTTTTAAAAATGACACATCACCTGGACCTTTGTCATTAATAATAAACATTGTTGATGCAATCAACTGGTGGCAGCGATACAATAAAGGCTTGTGCCCTTTGCTTGGTGAAACAACCAAGGGACAGGCGGGAACGTGACGCTTCTCCTCTGAGAACAGGGGTTTTCAAAATTAATTGTTGCAAGCTGCCTCCCACCCACCACTCCCAAAAAATCGATCTCATAATTTTCCTTACATTCTTCCCTCCCTTTATACATAAAATCCAAGCCGTGGGTCCTGCGCAGCTTCCTTACAGCTCCAAGAGCTATGGTACATTTGCAGCTCTAGACGGTTTGGGGGACAATAATGAAAGGCTACGTAAGGAGGCATAGAGGGTGGCTATCTACAGCTCATTAGAGGGGAAGTCTGAGGATTTTCTAAGCTGGGGGAATGTGAAGGAAATATTGTGCAACACTATTAATAACACTTAAATGTTACTCATTTGTAGCCAGGAATGGAAAAGGAAATAATCCACTCAGCAGAGAAGATACTTGAGAAACGGAATGAGTTCTTTTGAAAAGTAACCTTGCATACTCTGCCATGAACCCTCAGAACCCACAGATGAGCCCAGAAATGACTCCTTCTGGACACTGTCCTACTGACTGCACAACCAATTGGTATACTGTGTTTCCCCCCAAATAAGATAGTGTCTTAGATTAATTTTTGCTCCAAAAAACACACTAGGGCTTTTCAGGGTATGTTTTATATTACAGCCATGTCATCTTCTTCTGGTTGCTGCACAATGGTGGATGGCGGGGTTTCACTTCAGTAGGGCTTATTTTTGGAGTAGGGTTTATATTATGAGCATCCTGAAAAATCATACTAGGGCTTATTTTCATGTGAGGTCTTCTTTTCGGGGAAACAGGGTATATCTCTGTTAGGAGCACCCTACACCCAAACATGTTTTGCAGATAAAAGAGAGTTACAGTATGTGTTTGCAAAGGGGCTCTTGTTAATTATCTCGGGGAGGGGGGAGGGAAAGTCTGAAATATAGTTCATACAGTAAAATATATCTTGCAATAGTGTTGGCCAAGTGGTCTCCATGAAAGTTTGCACAACAGCAATGATGTTTTAATGATGCTTCTTTCTACCAGAGACTAAAACGACTACTCATCTCCATTTTCTAATGGTCACACTCCTTTAAAACAGTAAAAACTACAGTCGTGCCCCACTGGAGGATTACCCCGCTCAATGACGAATCCGCATTACGTTGAAGTTTTTGCGATCACTTTTGCGATTGCAAAACGACGTTTTAAATGGGGAAATTTCCTTTCACATTGATCGGTTTCCTGTTTCGGGAACCAATTTTTCGCTTTACGATGATCAGCAAACAGCTGATCATTGGGTTTCAAAATGGCCGCCGGCTTTCAAAATGGCCCCCCACTGTTTTCTAGGACAGATTCCTCGCTATACAGGCACTGAAAATGGCCGCCACATGGAGGATCTTCGCTGGACAAGCAGGTATTCAGCCCATTGGAATGCATTAACCAGGCTTTAATGCCTTTCAATGGGTTTTTTTAAATTTCATTTGACAATGTTTTCGCTCTACAGTGATTTCGCTGGAACGAATTAACATCGTCAAGTGAGGCACCACTGTATTATTATTTTCCTTCAGAATTCTAGAATTATACTGTTGGAAGAGGCCTCTAGATTACAGGCTACTCTATAGCAGCCAACATCTACAAAGGGCACGTGGAGATCATGTACACAGCATACACATACACAAAGCAATCTTCTTAGTTCTGGGGGGTCACATCTTTCCTCAGTAGACAATTTAGTGCTGTACTTTGCTAATACAAAAGCACAGTAAGTACAATGTATGTATACAATTCTTAACACAATCCTTCACCACCCAGAACAGGTCCTTCAGGTAAGATTGTCAAGAGATACAATGTGTGGCTCACAGCCAAACTCTCTCCAGAAGTCTGACATTGAAGTGCCATTGCATAACCGAAGGTTTTGTTAATCAACTCAAGAACTGCACAACTGATAGGAAATTACTGCCTGCACAATCTTTCAAACTACCAGTCTCTCTTTTAAGTGAAGTTTCTATGTTTATCCCAATAAATCTGAAAGTTATAGAAACACTGTTAATATGAATAGTTTAAATGACTTACTGCATTGGGTGATTTTCTGGATATTGGACGTTATGCGCTGTGCTAACTGGTTTGCATCCCCAGCAGTTCCTGCATTGTATGCCATGGCAAATAATGCCCACTAAGGTCGGAGGCAGAAGGCTCACAAATAACACCACCTGAAAACACAGACAGTTAGTTTTAAACAAATCATATATAATGGAGAATTGCGCTGTAGAATCTTAAACTGATTTATGACAAGCAAACCCTTCTTCCCCTTATTGTTGTAATCATTCAGTGACTGAAACCCAGTTATGAAACTATGTGGCATAAGCAGGAATTATGTTATCAGCCTGTGACATTATTGTTTAACTGAATCGAAAGTTTCCTATACCCACAATTTCGAAAACTCCTTACAGATCCCTTTTTACCTGGGGATGCCTTGGAGAGTTTTTGGGTGAGGGCTCTCAAAGGCATCCCCAAGTAAAGAGGTCTTCAGTATCAGGAGACTGCTGCCAGAGGGCCAGCAGTGGTGGTAGCAACCTTAAAGCTCTCCCCTCCTCCTCCACCACCACCCTACCTGGCCTGAGGTTCCCAGAGGCTTCCCTGGGTCAAAAAGGATCCCTAGGGAGCCTCTGAACCTGAAAGAAGATAATGAGCAGAAAAGGGTTTTGAAGGCATTTAATATTTGTTGTGGGAATATGGTGGAGCTGCGGGCTAAACTGCAGAACCCTTTGTGTGCTGCAGGGTCAGAAGACCATCAGTCATAAGATCGAATCCACGCAACAGAATGAGCTCCCATCACTTTGTTCCAGCTCCTCGCCAACCTAGCAGTTTGAAAACATGCAAATGTGAGTAGATAAATAGGTACCACCTCAGTGGGAAGGTAAACAGAGTTCCGTGTCTAGTCATGCTGGCCACGTGACAACGGAAACTGTCTTCGGACAAACGCTGGCTCTACAGCTTGGAGCCAGGGATGAGCACCACCCTCTAGAGTCGGACACAACTGACTAAATGTCAAGGGGAACCTTTACCTTTTTAATATTTATTGTGAGTTATTGTGTTCAACTAAACTATTATATTGACAAATAAAACCAGTAGAATGAGGTGGCCTTTTTCTACGTCTCCATGGAAAAAGGCCAGTGGGCATCTACCTGTAAGTGTCGACACAGAACAAACATGAATCTCATACGGATGATTTTATCCAAAATACTAGTTCAGTTCTCCAAGGCTGATGGTACAGTGTCTAAAGACACTTAACTCAAAGCTCTTCCAGACAAATCAAAATTGCCCTCCCCCTTCTCCTGCTTGACTACAAAGAAGTGCTGATTTTACTGATATTTGAAGCCAAACTTCCCTTTAGAAAACTACTGAAGGGAAAACTCTCTGAAAATGACTTCTTTTTGGGAAATCCCTGAAAATCTTGCTCAAAAAGGCCTTCAAAATGTTTTAGAAATCTATTTCCCTGACAGAGCTTCTTTCTTATTTGTTTGTTTGTTTGTAACCCATAATGGAAAGCTTCTGACTGAGACACTCTGATTCCCTTCATTAACTTCACCAGGAAGGAAAACACCACTAAACTTTGGTCCCAGGATGAAACAAAGACCAATAAAATAAAATAAAATAACACAAAATCAAGCAGAAAAGAGGTATTAATAGGTACAAGAAGCACTGATTTAAGTGAGACAAGCCTTATGTTGTATGGATGACAGAAAAATATCAACAAAATTGGTAGAGATAACAACATTTTTACCAGAAAAAATGCTTCATCTGGGCAAGCCTTAAAACTAGACCCAGAGAGAAATATCTCTTCATCCCTAAAGCTAACTAGACGATTATGAACCACTTACCATTTTTCAGTCTAAACTACTTCTTATCCTTACACGATAAGAAACATAAACTCCACTTTGAGGTCCCCAAAGAAGAGTGAATTAAAAATACAGTAAAATAAACAATGTTGCCTTTACCATGATCATGATGGCCATTCCTCATGCAACAGCTTCACAATTAAGGCTGCAATTTAATGCATGCATACCTAGAGGGAGATATTGTTGAAACCAATGGAGCTTACTTCTGAGTACAGACTGCACTGTAAAATAGCATGCATTTAACTCGTATTTCTGTATCAGTATGTCAACACAACCATCTCCAGAGGAAACCGCCCCATAGTCATATTCAAGTTGTTAAGCTCATGTGTTTTTCCATTACATTAATGGAAACCTGATCATCAGCCCAACTACTCTCTTATCACGATAACTGAAATCATGGAGTCACTGAATAATGAAGCCGGAAGGGACCTATAAGGCCATTGAGTCAAACTCCCTACACTATGCAGGAATACAAATCTGTGAAGGAGAGAACATCAGTGTGCCGTCCTCCACAAGACAGACCTCTGAGGAGAATCGTGGTTGTGTAGTGGGAGTGTCAGTGGAGATAGAGCAGGAGAGAGAAAAATAGAAAGGGTTGTTAGAAGTCTGTTTGGCTGATGAAAAGGGGGAGGAGCTAGACTTAATCATTTGGGAGGAGGATATAAAAGAAGGGGAAGGCACACGAAGTTTTATAATTCTAACAGACGATGCACTACCAGAAACGAGAGACCGAGCAGTACAAACTGAGCAGGGCTTAGGGCAGGAGGATTCTGCAGGGTTGATGAAAGACTTTCCGAACCTTCGGACAGGCGGAGGCTTGCTGCCAGACCCACTAGGCTCCACATGGGGAGGTAGAGCCTAGATCCTCTGGAATGGACCAAGGTGGTATATCCAAGCAATCAGCGTGAGGGGAGGAAGGTGATTCGTCCCAGTCCCTCTTTACTCCAACAACTGTGCGAAGGAGACTGGGCGACACACCCCTGTTGTGGGACAGTTTGTGCCGTGCGGAGCACCCCATTGAGACCCATGACTGATTGGGAGCGATTTGGACCAGCCCCCATGTAAGGAGCGACCAGAGGACACCTGACATAAAGGTTCAAAGTTACAAAGTTCTACCCGAATTAAGCATGTTGGGCCCATTTGCTGAGTTGGATACGTTTAACAATAAAATGAACAATGTTAAAGTCACCGACCAGCCTCCGACTCTCCTTCCCACGCAATCTTCGGGGCCGCCTACAGCAGAAGCTGAACCTGCTCACAAAATCCAAGGATATATGCTAGGTGTTTGTCTAAATTTCTCTAGAATGCCTGCAATGTTGGAGCACTCACCACCTCTTGATGTATTTAGTTCCATTGTCATTCTCCTCTAACAGTTCAGAAGTTTTTCCTGATATTCAACTGGCTTCCTGTAACGTGCTGTACAGTTCCTCATGTACAATGGGGATGATGTCATGAGCAGTGAAGCAGCAATTGCTGCTGATTAAAGGCATGCTTTGGTAATTTTGGGGTGTATCTGCATACCAATCATATGTGCCTTGACATTGCCTTTAATCAAAAGCCAGCTGCCTTTAATCAGTAATAATTTGCTGCTGCTGCTGGCATCATTCCTGCTGAGCATGAGGAGTTGGGCAACACGATTTCAGCCAGTGTTTGGGTCCTCCCTGACCCATTCATTGCTGGGTAAAACTGTGTAACAAGACACTTCAAATCCTACTAACCAGAATACATAATTATTCAAGGAACCTACAAAAGAACCAAAGGGTCTCAAAGGACAGTAAGGACAGTAAAAATGGCATGCAGGGAGCAAGGCTAGGAAGCATGCCCACACCTCTCACCTCGCCTGATTTCCCTAGTTTTTTAATTGAATGCCAAAGATAGCCTGTATTTTCACAATTTACAGCAGGGTGGGCAATGTTTGCAGGTCTTCAGGTCATAGATAATTTTTCATCTGAATGAAGGGGCCATCATGTAAACATTCCACACTTTCAAACTGCAAGAGACTGGGAGCCTCTGGTCCACAAAAATGGTCTTAGGTGACCACACCTGGCTCCTAAGCCACTCATTGTCTTCCCCAATGTATAGGTTATAACAGTGCTCTGTGGATAAGCTAAGTGTATCTCAAGCTCATGCATGTGCATGTGAAATAAAGTTCAGCAAGTGTAGTGACGGTTACATCCAAAAAAGTGTGTGCAGCATCTTCATTGACATCCAAATGAAGAGGGCCAAGTTGCACTTCAGAGTCAACTGGCTGTCATTCACTTCCTGGATCAACTTCAAGAACATCCCTGGAGTTCCCCACATTCAGTGGAAGTTCTAATGGGCATCAAGCCAGCTGTTTGTGGGAGGAACTGAATCTCAGAAGCAGCCTGACTGATTCCTGAGCTAAGTGTTGCCCTTGTCACTTCCAGATTTGATCTAGGGTGGGGGAGGGAAGGGAAAGAAAGCCCCCCCCCAAAAAAAGGTGCTTCAAGGAAGACTGCTTCATTGCCAAAGGCCAGACAGCCAGACCTTGCTAGCTCTCCTCACACATTATATTTGCACAGGAGGTCCTCACAGCTGTGTATGCTGCTTTGCATGTGGGCATGAGACTCTCACAGAACTTCAAGTCTCTCAGCAAAAGCTATTTCTGAAGCTTAGGCTGAAGGATGCCTAATTAAACCTTTTAAGCTTCAGATTTCAAAGTTATTTTTAACATTCTCTTTCAGTTCCTTTCACTATAAAGTTAACTTTTTCATTAGGTGGGGCTTCCTCTTTTCTCTACTTTCAATCTATGAAACTTTCTGCATCGCTGACATCTGTGAATGCCCACAGCATCCCATAATTCCACTGACCTAAATCCTGTTGCTAGTCCCAACTAAAGTAGACCCAATGTAACAATGGGAACTTGGTTAGCCATACCTGGTGTATTTCTCATTGTTGCAATGTCTACTCTACTTAGGACGAACAAGTGGATTTAACGGCACACCTACTCCCACTCCCCATTTTATGGTCCCTAGTACTACCAGGGATAAGCTGGACAGTGAGGCTATGACAATTCAGAAAGCTGACAGAAAAAAAAATTGAAATGTGGTGCTGAAGGAGAGCTCTGCGGATACCACTGACTGCCAGAAAAACAAACAAATGGATCCTAGATCAAATCATGCCTGAGCTATCTATGGAAGTAAAAAATGTTGAAACTGAAGCTATCCTACTTTGGGCACATCATGAGAAAATAGGATCCTCTGGAAAAGACAATAATGCTGGGAAAGATGGAAGGTAGCAGGAAAAGAAGAAGACCAAATATGAGATGGACTGAGTCCCTAAAGAGACCATGGGCTTGAGTCTGCAAGAGCTAAGCCGGGCAGCTGAGAACAGGCCATTTTGGAGAGGGCTTATTCATCAGGTCGCCATGGGTTGGAGGAAACTTGATGGCACATAACAACAGCAACAGTACTACAGTCATGCCCCACTTAACGATTATCCCGTATTACGACGAATCCGCTTCACGACAATGTTTTTGCAATCGCATATTGCGATCGCAAAACAGTGTTTTAAATAGGATTTTTTCATTTTGCGAAGATCGCTTCCCTGCTTTGGGAACCGATTCTTCGCATTACAATGATCAAAACAGCTTTTCAGGTTTTCAAAATGGCCACCGGGTGCTCAAAATGGCTCCCCGCTGTGCTTAGGGACGGATTCCTTGCTATACAGGCAGAGAAAATAGCTGCTGTATGGAGGATCTTCGCTGGACTGTGAGTTTTTAGCCCATTGGAACGCATTAACCGGATTTTAATGCATTTCAATGGGTTTTTAAATTTCGCTTTACGACGTTTTTACTCTACAGCGATTTTGCTGGAACGAATTAAGCTGGAATGTATTTAAGTGAGGCACCACTGTACTCATTAAGGCTGCGGCCTATTCACGGAAGAAACATGTGCAGATTATTTTTCCTTTAAAAATTCCTTAAAATAGCCCTTTAGATTTCTGAGAGAAAATCTGAGAATGTACAGAGACCTTCTCAGCATGACAACAGAGCCAAATTAAAGAAGTAAACTTCAAATATTCTTCCACTGAGCCATATTTGTAGTGTTTTAAATAGAAACCAACAGCCCAAAGTAGAAGAGTGTATATAGAAAAGTTTTTCTGCCTATTTTTAACAACTCAAATATAAACAATGTATCAAAGCTGTGACAACTGTAACAGTAGCCTAATAACTGTTCCACCTATTATCATATGTAGTAACAATGCATAACAATGTATCAGCTTACATTCTGGAGAACAGATAATAAATTAGATGAGCAAATCTGTGCTAGGATGTTGCTGGGAGAAATATGGGTGCTACAAGCAGAAAATGCAAGTCTCAACACTTTCCTTAAATAACAATAAATAGGCACTAGACTTTATATATACTGTACCTTCATACGACATCTCAGATATTTGGCTTTTTGGAGCAAGTGAACATCAAAGCAGTTAAACAGTATTGTACATACAATTTCTCTATATTACAATTGTAGCAACAACAACAAAAAGTACACCCTTTCCCATTCTTGTCAGATGTTTTCAGCTTCCAGTTCCCACCAGTCCTAGTCAGTAACCATACCCACGGGTGAAGCATCATGTGAGCTGCGGTCCAAAAAAAACAAAAAAAAAACCACAGCAAGACATCGCCAGTTTACACAGCCATTTATTGCAGGGTCTTCATCAAGTACTGATTTTATTTTCAGGGTGAGAATGGCAGCTTAATGGGAAATGGCGACATATTTTATGGTTGATACATCTGAGGAAAACAAAGTCCCGTAATCCAAGTCAAAGATTCATCACAAGATATACTGCAAGACATGAGAAGTTGAGAAGGCATCTTTCAGCCCACACAAATGGCAGCATGTATTTATGTCAGGAGTTTGGCAGACTGCACTCCTCCAGAAGTTGGTGACCAACATTTCCCAGCATTCTTCTCTATTAGCTATGCTGGTTGCACCTGATGGGAGCTGCCCTCCAACAGTACTAGGAGGCCACACATTGCACATCCCTGACTGAAGGAGGGGAGGGAGGGAGAGCAAACTTTGCAGCCTCTTGTGGTCCTTGTACACAATCCAAAGTCAAGGGCGGATAATACATTACTTAGACGGCTAAAGCACTGGTTCTTAACCTTGGGTTACTCAGGAGTTTTGGACTGCAACTCCCAGGAGCCTTCACCACCAGCTGTCCTGACTGGGGTTTCTGGGAGTTGCAGTTCAAAAGCATCCGAGTAACAAAGGTTAAGAACCACTGGGCTAAAGGATCCCAAGCAGAAGCTGGCTTTCAACTCTGCAAGAGTCTTCATCAAAATAATGAAAGCTAGCTTCTGCTTCTTATGTTTCAGTAGTTTCATACCTGATTTAAGATGCGGACTCTTGAAATGATTTGCAAGATACACTGGGTTGGATGTAGGACAAAGTTCGCAGAGGGAACAGGCATCTGACAGCAGCTTTCTGCTGGAGGACTGGGCCAGGGTGCAAAGCTTTACACTGCTTACTCTGCATCCCCCAGGCTGTTCTGGAAGACCCGAAAACCTCCACAGCAAATCTTTAAAGAGTCCAAGAGTCTGAGGCAAGGGGGAATAAATGAAAAAGACCAGCCTTTTCCTTTTCCTCTGCCACCACCAGAACTCAACCGAGCTGAGTTTCAGATACTTCAAGTTCTGTGTTTGACAGCCAGCAATATCCCAAGTCAACAGTTTTTCAACCAACTTGGTACTATTTTATTCAGACTAGTTTGTGCTAAATGACCCTCATATGCTTCAGAGCCGCAAGCAGTGGTTTTTCCAGTCGTGACTCCCTTTTATAACAGCTAGGTAACCTGTGACCCCATGGTTGCGCTATGGGTTAAACCTGTGCTGCAGGGTCAGAAGACCAGCAGTCGTAAGATTGAACCCATGCGATGGAGTGAGCTCCCGCCGCTTGTCCCAGCTCCTGCCAACCTAGCAGTTCGAAAGCATGTAAATGTGGGTAGATAAATAGATACCACTACAGTGGGAAGGTAATGGCGTTTCGTGTCTAGTTGCGCTGACCATGTGCCCACGGAAACTGTCTACAGAAAAACGCTGGCTCTATGGCTTTGAGACAGGGATGAGCACCGCACCCTAGAGTCGGACACGAGTGGACTAAATGTCAAGGGAAACCTTTACCTTTACCTAACCTGTGACCCCCACGCCATGTTTGCACAAAGAGGCATTTTTAATGGAGTAAAGTCATCCCTTCTCAAAAAGCAGAAGCTTCTTGCTCCCCTAAAGGGCCTGTTTCTCATAGATACACATACATACTAACTTTAACATCCCACTCCAAAAGCCCAAGAAAGAAATTAACAAGGGCAACAACACATATAAGGTGACCTGTAGCCCTCCCAGAAAACACTTTCTGATCCCCTTGGAGTTTTGTGATCTCCAGGTTGGGAAACACCGACTTAAACTCTGTGGGGCCACATCCATTTCCAAAAATGTCATAAAACAAGGAAACAAAGAAACAGCCACATTCCTCTCCACACCAAGAACTTTTGGGGAGCATTTCAAAAGAGATATAGAAGAGAAGAGTCTCATCAACCCTGTCTCTACCAGTCCCTTTCCCCCCCTTCTTACAAATAAAAGATTTATTGAGTTCATTATTCTGTGCACACAAGTGGCTACCCAACTGCCCATGGGGAAATGCGTGTTGTTGATGCACTTGCACTCACATTCCATGGCAGCTAATATAAAGAGGAAGATGGCCTCCGCCATGGGAGGAAATAGGTGTCCATCCAGACTGGTGGCTATGGGACAGCCTGATCCTATGTAAATTAGTTCAGTCCTTTTTTAAAGAGCTCTCCAAGTTGGCAGGCGCCGTGACATCCCATGGCCACGAATGCCTAGTTAACCACACATTGTGTGAAGGAGCCCTATTGGCTTAAGCAAGCTTACCCAACAGCATTTCTCAGAAATGCAAGAAAGGACTGTAATTTATTTTTGGCCTGCACAAATAATCAGAACTTTGAAGTGGTGGCATCATTATTCACCCTCGATGCTACTGAATTCTTTCTGTCAACCACAGAGTAGCTGCAGCCATCCACAAGGGGCAAGAAACGCACAGCAGTCTGCACATTCCCAAGAGAATATCCTATAGTATCCCCAACGAGGAGTATACATGGCACCAGGCAACTCACCATGCTCTCCCTCTGCTTTATGGTTACGTGTGCATCTCCATGCACCCTTGCACACATCATCTGAGCCCTATTACGATTTCCTTTAATCTTCTGAAGGCCCTCACAGGACTGGGCTGGCGGAGGGGGAGGAGGAGAGAACCTGCAAGTCCTTCGCCCTGTCACATGATGGTTCCACCCGGAGGAGGGAGGTGCCACGCGAAGCCAGAAAGAGAAGCTTGTTTTCCATCCCCAGCTGGCATCATGTGCCTCCATCCTCTGCCCGCCACGCAACCGCGGCGGTGATGGCCACCCTTCGCACACATCCAGGCGGGTGTGCTCTGAAACACACACACCCCAGCACTAAGGAGCGGGCGGTAGGGAGGAGGCAGGCAAGCGGGCGCGTCAGGAAACGAACGCAGGAAAAACCGGAGTCCCCGGCACCAACGTCGTCGGGCTGGGAATTAATCCGGGAGGCGGGAGCGAGGGAGGGGCGACCGGGGCAAAGAGGGACTCGCTCAAAGGTCAGAAGCGGCACCGGCTGGGGAAACACCTGGAGGGCTGCGGGCTCAGGCAAGCCTCCCACTGCCCCGAGTCAGTCGAGGGGGCTCCTGCCTCGGCTGGGGAATGCGGAACTCCCACCCACATGCCGGCGCCGCAAACGGGGCGCCACGCTTCACGGCCACGTCCTTCCCTCCCAGAGCTCGAAGGCTTGAGGACGGTCGGCGGGCGCTTGCCCGGCTGGGGAAACACCTGGAGGGCTGCGGGCTCAGGCAAGCCTCCCACTGCCCCGAGTCAGTCGAGGGGGCTCCTGCCTCGGCTGGGGAATGCGGAACTCCCACCCACATGCCGGCGCCGCAAACGGGGCGCCACGCTTCACGGCCACGTCCTTCCCTCCCAGAGCTCGAAGGCTTGAGGACGGTCGGCGGGCGCTTGCCTCTCGCCCCGGTCG